TAGTTAAATCGTAAGCAGAAAATAAAGTATCAAGATGGATATGCGTGGATTTCATATGTCTTGGCTTCATAAGTGCGTGTCTGAAATTACAAAATCCGTTTCTAATCCGAGCTTGCAGACACACACACACACAGATGAACTCATAAAAGCATATTACAGAGGTCAAATATCTACTAAAAACTTGGGAAGGGACTCAAATGGTCAATGAACATGTGCCTCACACTTCACATTAAAAGACCAGAGAGAGAAAACCAACCTGAACTCTTGAAATTGGCTAGCACACAAATGAACCATTGGCTCAGTCTAGTGTATACCAAAATTCAACCATTAGCACAAATGAGCAATTGTGATAGCTCGACATCAGCCCCCACACTCATAAAAATTGAAGCTTCAAGGCTGTTTTCCCACTTATTTGTGTTGTTTTAATTATCTTATCTTACAAGTGTGATCACACTCGATTTATCAGTTCTAATCAAGGTTCCTAATTACTATGAAAACAGCTTAATAATGGTTCATTATATCTAGAACAAAGTAAAAATTGAGAACAGTTAAATGCTCCAAAAAACAGAACCCAAATGCGTAAGACATGGTTCTATATCTATATCTATACACACATATACACATACATACATTGAGCTCGGCATACCCAGAAAAACGATATTTGACAAAAAAGAAAGAACGAAAATTGGAATGAAAAGCGTGGAAATGAGAGAGAGAGAGAGAGAGAGAAGTGTGAGGGAGAATACCCATGAGGGCTTCGGATCCGAGTCCGGTACCGGATCCGATGAAGCGGCGGAGGTTCCGGACCCACAACATGGACGAAGCAGGCGGGATCTTCCTTTGCGCGGCCTCATGGCCTTCGCCATCACTGGACCCACTGTACATTGCTGAACTCGGGCCAACTCAGAGTTCGCGTACGATTAGACTCGCTGAACAAAGCCCTAGCTAGGAGGAGCCAGGGACATATATGATTTGCAGAGTGAAAAAGATCTTAGCTTGAACCCGGATCTACCGAGGAATGTGGCAACATCATAGAAAAGCCTTTGTTTAATTTTTCAGGTTTTTTTTTTTTTTTTTTTTTTTTTTTTGGTGGGTAATAGTACATTGTTTAATATATGAATAGAATTTTAGTGTTCATTCCTAAATTTGTATCAAAAGAAAGGGTAAATTACTCAAATGGTCCTTAAATTTGTATGCGATTTATATTTTGGTTCTTCAATTAAATTATTAGTCCAAATGATACATAAACTCTATATTAATCGCCCTATTTGTCCTACCGTTACATTCAAATGTGCAGCACACACACAATTATTTTTCCTTCCACAAACCCAATTGTGGCTATATAGTCACATCTTATAAATTCAAATGTGCAGCACTCTCAACTTTTTTTTTTTTTAGTACAAACAATAGGAGGGTGGGATTGCTTACACACACATAATTATAATGCCGTGAGGAATCGAACCTAAGACTTCTGATTTACAAATCAAAGTCATTGGATTAGAACCTATTGGCCTCAACTTGTATTCTTTTGTTTGTAGCAAAAAAGAAAAAATAACGTTTATTCTTTTGTTTTTTAGTACAATCCTTCAAATCTAGTGTTCAAATCAAATCTAACTTAACTCAATAATTTGTAAATTTATCAGCTAAATGATGATTCATGTGTCTATCAAGCTTCGAACTCTCTGTATATAACTTGTGAGATTTTGCATCAACAATAGAGATTCTGCTATCCTTCTATTCTTCTTAGGGGTGTTGGTTCCATTTCCACTTATTTTTCAAAATAACAAAAAGTTTCCCATAAAATTGTTCCATGGAGCATTGAATCCATGACCTTTATTGTTTAATGGAATGACCAGATAGTTGTTCTCTGTACTTTTGTTTTATGGCATCAGTTTATGGGTATTTTTTGGGTAGTATTTTCATGTTAGATGATGTGAGAGTTTTAGTTTAAATTTTGCACAAAGCCTTCAAAATCTCATAGCCGACTCTCATAAACAATGAATCTCAGTTGAATTACTATAGAAAATCCGGCAAAATGCATTGGACACACATACTTTTGATATTCTTTATGTGTTTTTTTATCACAAATGGTCCATGACCTTTTTAAAAGTCCTCATTTTAGTCCTTAAACTCTCAAATCAATCAATGTGATCCTTCATCTTTTGGTCTACAAATCAATTTGGTCTCTATTGTTGCATTCTGACAAAACATTCGTTGAATTTTGTCTCATATCATCATATGACCAATTTTGAAAGAGCACTTTCATCCAAATATAGCTCGTTTTAGTCATAAAACTCACATTTTTGCTCCAAAAGGTCATCTTTTCTCCATTTAGGGATTTACATTTGGGTTCCATCAAAGAGAACGAATAACCTTGTTGAGCTAAATACGTGAGATTTACTTTTTGTTATGGATAGATATGTTGTGCTTTGATGAAAATACTGTTTTAAAGTTTATTACATGCCGAATTTTAACGAATATTTTGACGGAATGCAATGAGAGAGACCAAACTAATGTGTTGAGCAAAACATTAAGTACCAAATTGATTGATTTGGAAGTTGAAGGACTCAAATAAATTTTTTTGAAAAATTCAAGAACCATTGGTGATAAAAACCCATTCTTTATTTTTTTATTTTTTTATTTTTTTGGATAGACGATTGCTATGCATATCATGAAGTATGTATCCGACAATTTCCTTTGTGAAACGAAATGAGAAAGCCATTGGTTTTGTATTCTCTCCAAAAAGTCTACATCGAGACCGCGTTTCACATTGTGATTATGGAATCACAAACGTTTGTGGGTCCTATATTATTCCGAGGGACACACCTCAAGCATCAAACTTTTTTCAGACCAGAGATAGATTCAAATCTTGATCCAGAAAAAAAACAAGAGAGATTCAAATCAGAAACCAAAGATATAGGTTCAGATCACAAACAAAAGACATTGGTCCAAATCATACAAAAAAGTGATTGCTGCTTGTAATTTCACAAGGGAGAAAAAAGAAAAGTTCATCCGAGTAATGTAACAGTTAGTTCTTGCATCCTGTTGACTTGAAAGTTCTAAATTTTTCAAAGATGTAAAAATCAAGCCCTTGAGACAAGGCAACATCATGTATATTTTATTCTTAAATAATTTATTGAAAGTTTCTTTTAATGAATGATACGAAGTAACGTAACATGGCAGAGTGTCTTTAAACGAAAATTTCTCAAAGAAAGTATATATTGATTTAAGAGAAAGAAAAAAGAGAAGACTTTTTATGTACATTAGATTCTTTGCTCACCATGTGCTGCATTGCATCAGCAGTCAGTTTCAGTGGTCATGAATCAAGTGCTATAGACTGCAACGTTTTATTCCCTCTACAAATTAAAATGGTCCCCTACACACAGCAATTCTCGATTTTATTCCAAGCATGCATATGATCTGGCTGAATGGTACAGTTGGGACGATCCATCCTTGACCCAATTAGCTTGCAGTACAGAGATTCAAAAACCATTTTAAACAAAGAGGATGAGTGTAACCATTTCATTGTCTAATTATAATTATTCAGGTTCATACCAATTAGCAAGAAATCTAGTCATTCCTCTTTACTTGTAAATCACATTTTGGCTCGTGTACAGAAATAACTCGAAGGGAGTAACAAAACGAAACAAAAACTGCTTCTACGCATGGACGCACGTGTCAAATTGTGATTTATTTGTTAAAAAGAACAGCTCATTGCTAATTTGTTAGTGAGAAGCAAGTATAAGCATGAAGTTAATTGTTTTTTGCAGAGAGAAATATCAAATATCCCCGCTTGTCTCTCAGAGTCCGAGACAATATCAGATCCAAAACCACAGCCAATTTGAGATTTGAGAAAATCCAGCCTTCCCTACAGGGCCTTAGTCTGTGTGATATGGACCTCTTAAAAACACAGCTACATTGTATATCGACCTGCACAACATGACAACCCTCTTTCCAATCCCTCTTCTCCTTTTCCAGCCAAACCAACAACACAACAAATTTCAGGAAAACAAACAAAATGAATTAAATAAGAGGAGAGAGACTTACAGCTCAATAGGCATCCCCACCAATATTTTGTACAGCTCAACCAAATGCTGAAAATATAAATATATACAGTAGCAGGCAAAGGGAAAGAAAATTTCCAAGTGCCCATTTTTCCAAAGTAGAGAATATATTCATTCTTAGAACAATAAAACCAAGGGCATGTAGCCATGGAAACTGCGCACCCTGCTGAAACTTGCTGTGGTATTATGTGTTGTTGGATCAGCTGTCAATGACCCCATGTGAGGGAAGAGACCCCCTATTTATACAAAAATAGAAATTGCCTCCCTCTCTTTCCAGATCAGATGACAGAAAAAGGCAAAAAGAGAGATGGAGTGAATTCAGGGAAAAGAGTTGATAGAGTGAGTGATAACTACCTTTTTCTTTTGATCCCCTCCTCAATAATTATGTCTTCCGGTGCCCAGCGAATAAAAGTCATTCTCACATCCGTCCACATCTGCATAGTAAAAACCGTAGTATTTTACAGTTGGTAACAACAACAACAACAAGAAGAAGCCAATGAAGACATTGATTTTTTGAATTTTTTATTTTTGAAGGATTGATTTTTTGAAATTTTAAGTGGAGAGAAACCACATAAAGATGCTCAATGATCTGTTTGTACATCCACTGATATCTGCATAAAGTGTGCTTAGGTTGTCACCTCTTTCACTTGACAAAAGTGTCTGCTGTGCATAATATAATATTATTATTATTTTTGTCTATTTTCTGATCTGCCTAAGATAACAATTACAATGTTGAAATTACAGTGTCTGAACATGAGGGTTTCTGTTGTAATCAGCACTGCCAAATATAAACCAACATGGAGTGTAACATCAGTAAGAGAAAAGGGTAATAATTTCTGCTTTATGTTTTTCCCACTTGCTTCAAAAATCATCCCCTTACCTCATTAAATTAAATAGAGAAAGGGGGTGGGGATGGGGAGGTTTTGAAAGGACAAGGTGTTCTTCAGTGATGGGGCTTCTCCAATGTCATTTTTGATGAGATGCTGAATACTTAACAGCAGCAAAGTAGGGTACAGTGAAAAAGCAAATGAGTTGTCTTTCTGATCTTTTGTTCAGATTTTAACAGCATTAATGCTTACAGAAGTTCTCGTTTCCTAAGTAGATACTTGAGATCAGCCAGTTAACATTTCTGAGCACTTGTCTGCACCAAAACCCCACTAGAAAGTGCTCAAATGCTAGTTCAAAACAAGAGGCAATATATCTCAACCAAGAGTACCTCTTGATCTTCAATTTCCATTGACTGGTGGCAAAGGCTCCTAGTCTTGGAGCCTCTTAAGTTGTGCTGCCACAGATATGAATAGTTGATTCCAACTTTGCTAAAATGCTTCTTCAACTGACCAGTCTCTTGGTTCTCATGCATCACAGGTTCAATGTTTAAGTTTGTTGCTGGAGAAGCAAAGGCTGTAACCACATGTCAAAGCCATCTGCTGCTATAGTTGGAGGTGCTGCTGGGGCATTTGCCTTGGTGGCAATAGTCATCGGAGTCGTGTGGTTCTACAAGACACATTGCAAGAATCTTTCAAACAAGAATTCAGAGACAGGTTCCTCAGATCCATCTGCAATAGGTAAAGATTAGTTCTTTTTCATGCTGATGAACTTGGAGAGTTTTAATTACATGAGCTGCTATTTAATGCCACATTGGCTAAATGTCTGTAGTGTTGTTAATCACTCACCTTCCTCCCCAACATTGTCAGTGGAATGGAGTAGGGGTGGACCCAGTTCCGGGGTACGGCAGGGAGCAAGGCTCTTCACATTGGAGGAGCTAGACCAAGCTACCAAGCATTTTGATGAAAGCAGCCTCCTGGGATATGGAAGCTTTGGCCTGGTTTATAAAGGCTTGCTCCGTGATGGGACGGTTGTGGCTATCAAAAGGCGTCCTGGTGCTCCTAGACAAGAATTTGTCTCAGAGGTATAGCTAAGTGGGACACATAGCTCGTAGTTATAACTGATTGAAAAAACAAAAATGTTCAGCATTTGTATGCATTACATATTGTAGCTCTTACATGTACGGTTACCTAATGAACTGTTTGCTATGCCTAAAATGAAGATGGGGTTAAAGGAACTTTTTACGAGCTTAATCTGATCTAAGTTCTTGAGGAAGTAACAAATTATGTGGCAACAGGTAACGTATTTGTCGGAGATTCATCATCGAAATTTAGTTACAATACTGGGTTACTGCCAGGAAAGTGGATTTCAAGTATTGGTATTTGAACATATACCGAACGGCAGCGTGTGCAATCACCTATATGGTAACGGTATATATACCTCCTTTTACTGGCAGTATATAATACTGGTTTTATATGCATGTTACATATGCTATTCATTTGGTGGCAGATACTAGACTAGAGTCATCAACTAAACTTGAGTTTAAGCAAAGGCTATCCATAGCTGTAGGGGCTGCAAAAGGTAGATCCAAGAGAAACTTGATAACAAGTGAGAAATTAAGGATCATATTGAAGATTAAATTTGTGTCTCTAACTTTGCAGGGTTGTGCCACTTGCATGGCCTAAAACCTCCCATGGTACACAAAAACTTCAAAACAGCCAATGTCTTGGTTGATGAGGACTTCATTGCCCACGTTGCAGATGCAGGGATTGCAAAACTACTTGAAAAGATTGAAGAAGCAGGTCCTTCTCGCACGTCTAGTGTCAATATTTTCCAAGATCCAGAGTAATTCAATGTCTTCTGCATGAACTCTGTTTTAAATGCGTTATGGTAAAACATAAGATTTCATAATATTCAGCTATTAATACATGCATGTATGCCAATGAATTATAGGGTTGGAGCATCTGGGGTTGCCTCTGAAATGAGTGATGTGTACAGCTTTGGGGTTTTCCTTTTGGAGCTTCTAACTGGACAGGAGGCTTTGGACATTGGCTCCTTGGGATCAAATGAAAGCTTGTTTCAATGGGTATGACCAAAATATTCTTTTCTCTTTCAATGCCTTACTAAAAGATGCATTGTGGATATTAATTACTAGATAGTTTAAGGAGAACTTTAAGTAAAAGTCATCAACAAAATGAAAGTATTTGTGCCCCATTTACCGACTACATTACTGATCACATCTCTTGTACGAGTAGGGGCTAACACAAGACTCACCGGTGTGATCGAATCTCCCTTTGGTCATATAATTTTGCGCTAGTTAGAGGCTATCAATTCTTCGTCTTCTCTATCGATTTTTCTGACTGTGTGAAGGTGGAATCACGGCTGAGTTCAAATACTCTGGTGGACAGGCGGCTAGTCGGAAGCTTCACTGGAGAGGGAATGAGGGACTTGATCAGGCTGACACTGCAATGCATGAGTTTTCCAGGAAGAAGAAGGCCCAAGATGGAGATGGTTGTGGTTGAGCTTGAGAGAATTAAAGAGAAAGAAATGGCAATGACAACAGTGATGGGGGAGGGTACTGATACATTCGCTCTCGGGAGTGTACTATTCACTTGAACATGAGCTTGGGCAAAGCTCAAGCTCTAACCACACCATCAAAAACATCATCTTATAGCTTGGCTAGAACTATTTGTAATGCAAGACCTAAACTGCTGTAAATTTGATTTTCCATTTTATATTCAAAATAAATGCATGAAGCTGTAGGATTCAATTCAAACCAGTTATCTAACAATGGGATAAATGTAGCAAACCAAATGTAAAACCTCCAAATACTTGATTTAAACAATCATCTCAATCAATCCATATACATAATCACAATTTGTAAGTACCAAAAAAAAAAAAACATAAAACCGGAACTACACAAAGCCTGTTTATAAGTGAGGGTTAATATACAAGGACGGAGCTAAAAGCAGGCTAGCCATTTTACAATCTCCTCTAACACTTGGGGAAAAAAATATTATAAGTAAATTTCACAACTAAGTTATTGGTGGCCGCTTTGCCCCATTTAAGATAATAAAGTCATTTACAGTTAAATTTTAAATTTTGGCACCTGAAATCTAAAAATCGTAACTCCGCCATATCTCGCACTAGGTTAAACCTAACTCATAGTGTACCAGAGCTGTTTATGTCCCATCCCATGTTTTATTGATCCCCTTTCTCCACATTACATCAAAGTCACGAGTTTCAAGTCTCAAGTTTAAACATCAGAAATAGAATATGCACTTGCCAATCTGTTTACCGACCAGAATATACCAGCAAAATAAAGGTGATGCATACCAGCTGCTACCATATAAACCTAACTCATAGTGTACTATGGACATGCCTATCTGTCTCTCATACCATATAAACCTCAATCTGGTGGTCTCTTGTTCATGGCAGGAAGACCACAAGAATGGCATTGTAATTTGTAGGGGCCATTCCACCCAATTTTACAATACCCGCTTCTCACATTTTAGTGTTGATTTGAAATGACACCACATATGATCTTTGATTGGTGACCCCCATTTGGTACCCCGCCCTTTCAAAACATTGTCTCATAACCTTTTGGATCATTCAAATTTCACATCAACCCACTGAAATGATTACTTATCTGAAATAGTATCAGAATGATTCCAATTCTATCTTTTTTTGTGTTTACTAACACATGGGTATTAGAATAATTTCAATTTATGACTTGTTTTTTTGAAACCAAACATTTTTCACTCGGCTAAAAATTATGTGGTAACCACATTAAAATTAGTAATCAACTAAAGGAGTAGTTAATCCGATACCAATTCCTAAACTTCCCAATTCATGACTTCCTCCATTCATGTGGTAAGTAAACATACCATAAATAGTTGGGCACATGTATGATGGATCAAATTATTAGTGATTGTCCTATGACACACTCTCATATGAAGCCAAACATAACACAATGGATTCCTAGCTGCTATCTGACCCACAAAAGTCATTGCCCCCTCTATAATTTGGGCAAGGGGTCCATAAAGATTCTAGGTTGCCCTACTAAAATTTGCTGTCTTTTTATCATTTCAACCAGAGAGTAACTTAATGTCCACGAAACCGGGATTAGGCAAACAAAATAGGGTGTTTAAGATTCGATCCAATTTAATTAATAATAACATCATACATCACACATTCTGTGTATGTTTGTCTATATTATTAAGGATAATATTTTTGCACACTACTTTAACTCAGTGTCTACCTAACATTATGATGAAAGAGAAATAATACTTTAATAACATATTTCCGGATTTACCTCTCTTCACTTGTAACCCAGCTGCTCTCTCCTTGAGACGTCATTTTACCTCAACTCCAATCTAACAGTGTTAAACTCTAATTCAAAAATAAAAATTAAAACCAAAAATTAAACGAAAAACCAGGTAACATAAAAAACTAAAGCTTAGTGGCAGATCTAATGAAACCAAATCACCATCCATGAAACAACCTGAAATCATATGGGAGGATTTACAATTAAATTGAATCAGAGCATCAAGTGAGATGATGGAGAGATCTGAACCCATGTTTCCATGTCGAGCCAAAGAAGAATCAAGGTCATCTACAAAGCCTCTCATTGGCATGTCATGACCTGCTGATGCAATTTTTGACTTTGGGAAAGGGAAAGCGAGATTGTTTTGTCGCTAACCCTGCTTGGCTGTTCAAGGAGATCACGACATGAGGAGTTTTTATAAATAAATAAAAAATGAGTAATGCTACATTTACCACATTTTTATCCCACATTTTTATAGCACATGATGTGGCATGGCCATATTATATGTCACATCAATTAGAATAATGCTACTCTTACCACATTTGTATACTACATTCTCATACCACCTTATGTAGCAGATGAGGTGGACAACACATCAATTAAAATTAATTTAAAGTTTTCTTAACTTTTATGATTTATTGACACTTTTTAAGTGATGTGATTGTCCACTTCATCTGTCACATAAGGTGGTATGAAAATGTGGGATATAATTGTGGTAAGTGTAGCATTACTCCATCAATTAAATCAATGAATTGTATTTTAATTAAGACAATTAGAAAAACAAATATTGGAATAAATCATAAAAAATATATATTAAATAATTTTAATTGATGTGGCTGTCCACCTCAGCCCCCATATAAGATGGTATAGAGATGTGGTATACAAATATGGTAAGAGTAGCATTATTCATAAAAAAGAGTCAAAATTTACCCTATTTTTTGCAAAAAAAAAACTCACCTAAATAGACTCAAATACACCCAAAATTAAAACCCATCTAAACCTAAAAGCAAAAGGTTTATCTCTTTTTGGTTGTTTTGCGTTTGCAATTTTAGTTGGAATGCCTATGCAAGAGTTTCTTCGATCATGCGTGATCGTTAATGGAGGTGCACCAGATTGTCTAAATTTTAATGTTAGATTGCTACGTTATTGTAATGATCATTTGTGGCTAGTGACTTTTTTGGCTGAATTATGAATGCAATTTTAAAATTTCTCAAAATTTCTATAATAAAAAAACAACCAAAAGACTCTCTAGGTCTCATAAAATAAAATTAAAAAAGATGAAACAATGTAAGCACATACATATATATATTTTTTTTTCACAAATGAACATTTTCAGTAAGAGTTTGATTGATGATAGTGTAGGAAGGTTTTCCTTTAATTAATAAGGTAAATGTATCTAAATTTTTAGAACATATGTGAAACAATATAATATACTTTGAAGCAAATTGACCATTTACGGTCCACTAAAGTACTGCAACTCAAATACAAATATGTTTCTTGGCATTATGATGATGTGTGTATGTATATACTTATAATTACATCAAGATTTCACATAATGCATATAATTCCATGAAAATCATATTAGTATGGGGGTAAGATAAGTGCAGAAATCATATTATAAAACTTGACTACCATGCTAATTTGACTTTGTTATTAACAAAACTTTATTTGCACTTACCAGGGCCTTATGCAACCAGATTTTGACCAAAACTAAGAAGAAAAACATGATTAATCAAGCGTAATGATCATCATTCAGACAATGGAAAAGGTAAATCTATTATCGTTGCTTTTTTTATTGGTAGATAGGAGGGCTAAAGCCCACCATTATCGTTGTTTATTTTCTTATGAAGTTAGTTTCGGATGTCCATTTATCCCCATATTTTCTGCTAATATGCCAATTATTATTATTTTAAAATAAGACCTATATTTAAATTGGGCCCAAAAAAAAAGGGGGAAAAAGAATACCTTGGAGCCTAAAACATCTTTGCACTCACAGGTAGTTTGACTAGGGCTCCAATACTTCTTCAAACCTGCGTTTAAAGACTCTCAAATTTTTATTTTAACATAGTTTTAAAAAAAAAAAAGAAAAAAAAGATCTAACAACATTTTGATTTTTAGGTTTATGTGCGTTTTAGTTTAAGGGCATTTGAGTCTATTTAGTTGAATTTTTTACTTTTTTTTTAAATATAAAAACTGATCATGAGGGAATGATGAGATCATTAGCTGATCTTGAAGCGTGTGCAAACCAAAAAAAACCAAAAGAGCTTTAAAAAGTAAATAAATAAATCAAAGGGTTATTGATTGAAAAGGTTCCTCAACTATTGCTCCAGTATCATTTTAGTTCATCAACAAAATTTTTCATTTCAATGGTCCTTCAACTCTTCATTTGGTATCAAAACGGTCATTCCGTTAACGTCTGTCAATTTTATTATTAAATTGAGGGGTAAAAATGTCTCTATGAATTAAAAAGTAATATATAATTAAAAATTTAAGGAAACTATTATAGAATATAACAAATTTTTTAAAATTGAATCTCACCAGCCACATGGGTTTAATTGTTTTTTTTTTTTTATTTTTTTTTTTTTTAATACTAAGATTGACCTAACAATTAATTTTTTAAAATTCTCTATTGTTTAAATTAATTAAAAAAATTAAAATCACATAAATTTAAAAATAAAATAACAAATTTTTTAAAAGAGTAAACAATAATTAAAAAGTAAAGGAAACTATTATAGGAACTTGTACCTAATTTTAAAATTGAAAAAATTGAATCTCACCACCAACATGGCTTTTTTTGGCTGAGATGGACTTAAAAAGTAATAAAAAAATTTCTCTGTTGTTTAAATTAATTAAAAAAATTTAAAACCAGATAAATACAAAAATAAATAACAAAAAAATAAAAAAAGTAACCCCAAAACAAACGAACCCAGCATTTCCCCCAAAACAAACGAACCTAACATTACCCAACCCCACCTTTCCAACCCCGTAACCTCCCCTCACCCCCATCTCCAACCTCGCAACATCCCCCCTCTCAGCCTCTACCCATCGTCACCTCACCACTCTCAGCCGCTCTCACCGTGACTGGCACCCTCTTTCTTTCTCCAAAATCCAAAATAATTACCACCCAAAAGCAACGAAAATGAAAACCTATGAATGGAGGTCTCTCTTTCTCTCTCTCTCTCTCTCTCTCTCTCTCTCTCTCTCTCTCTCTCTCTCTCTCTCTCTCTCTCCCTCTCTCCCTCCCTCTTGTCTCTATACACCAACTCAAATATGATATGGGGTTGTTTTTGGTGGGTATGGCTTATATTTGAATCAGGTTAGTTTGATTTGCGAGGCTTCTTTGGGCTTGAAGTTGCTACTTTATGCAAGAGATGAAAGAGGCTGAGATGGGGGAGGTTGAGATGTGGGTTGGAGTCATGAGAGAGGCTGAGATATGGGTTGAAGGCGTGAGATGGGGAATGAGTTTGGTAATTGTATATGGACGGTTTCCCCCTCAATTTAACAATAAAATTGACATACTTTGACTGTAGGACCATCTTGATACAAAATAAAGAGTTAAAGGACGGTTCAAATGAAAATTTTAGTTGGTAGACCAAAATGATACTAAAGCAATAATTGGGGGACCATTTCAGTCATTAACCCATAAATCAAAATCAAAATCAACTAGATAATGGATTAATTTCTACAAGGCTTATAATCACTAGCGGATCTACATAGCTCATCTAACCTGAGACATTTTTCACTGAGTTGGACTCTTGTTCACCCGTTTTTAGTTCAATCCTGTGATGGTAGGGTAAAATTGCTCATTGGCTTGAAAACCATTGGTGGTCAACAAGTCAACTTTCTTTGGTGTGCGAGTGTGCTACTATTAGCAGTTAAAAACCCTAATAGACTTACGAAAAATAGATAACTTGCGCCACAAGTTATTGGCTTTAACAAGTGATTGTGAATTTGGGTGAGGAATATCTCCTAAGTAAGTTCTTTTCTTGCCTCAGACTGGCGAGGACTTTACAATTTATCACAGTAAACTGGTAGTTCTGGCCAGAATGAAAATTGGGAATAGATCAAACTTTTTTGAGAAAAAACTGCCTACTACAAGACTTTCAAGACAAAAGGAAAATGCCACGTCTACAGGGAGAATAAAACATTGGACTTCAATTTCTGTCTGGATGATTGCCTATGACTCAGGGTGGATTGAGTGTAACTATACTGGATCCAAACATCAGCACCTTCAACCGATAAAGCTTAGCTGGAAATCGATACCAAATGCTTGAGATTGGCAAAGCTTTAATATGTTATGGCCATAAGGAAGCCTGCTGGATGGGCAGGAATGAGATTTTTTCAGTCTGGACAGGGCTGGATTGATGATTACTAGCCTGGAATTGCATTACGACACCTATTTTGCTTGATTATGAGTCATCCAAGAGCTATTCTAGCAATTCTGAGAGCTCAGGACATTTTTGTAAATTTGTTGAGGTTTTCATGTTATGAAAAACCCTAATCCTACTTGATGTGGCTTGTACTAAACCAATTTTGTGACGAGAGAGAGAACTTGTTTCCTTTGTGAACCGTTTCTCTGAGTTGAGTTGAAGTCAGAAACATGAGTTTTGGCTGATCTATTTTTTTTTTTTGTGAATGGAAGAGTTTGGTTGTCCCAGGGTCTGAAGGCTTTTTGGTTGTTTTGAATTTGTCAGTGTGACTTTGAGAGTTTTTGTTTTGATTGAATTTTTTAGTTATCTCCAACCATGTTCACCTCCTCTTATATTTATAGAGAATCTAAATAAGGCTTTGTTTTCAATGTTTGAGGACATATCTTTTTTCAAAAAGATATTCTAATGTAGAGGGAATTGATTTAATCTGGCGAAAAAGAAACCTATCAATAATTAGTCTCTATGATGGTCCATTTGCCTTTTCAGGCAAAAACCAACTCTTTTGCTCTCTGCTTGTTTCTTGAAAAACGATAACCTGAATAACTTGACCTGGTAGTTTGTTTTGCTTTTGGTGAACAACCCTATTGTTTCCTGCTTATTTCTAAAAAACATAACCTGCTATAAGTCTAGAAAGGAAACTTGGCCGCCTCTCTTTTCTGGCATTTTTTGAATGGTTTATGGAGAGAGTGTTGTCTTGGTTAGCCTGTTTTTCATTAACTCCCCATCACTTCCTCTGTCTTTAGTTAAAATTTTTGACTTTTCAAAGTCACATGGGTCTTTTTCTTGGGAAGAAAATCTTCCAAAAATATCTGTTGATTTGAATTGAGACCAATTGGGGTGATCAATTTGCCTGAACTGGGCCTAATCCAAAAAATCATTTTTAGCTACTGGCTTGTTTGGATTAAATCACCATTTATTGGTAATTGATTTTTAGTCAGTGAATTTAATCCTTGCTAATTGGTCTACAAGGATCTGTGCTTCCA